TAAAGTTAATTAATATATATATATATATATATATATATATATATATTAAATCTAAAAGAACCAAGAGATCATCATTCGAAAATTAAAAATTCATACAATCAAAGTAAAGACATTGACTCTGTGTATAACTATCCTCTTAAAATAAATTCTTGTTAGGTTTGGAGTTAATGTAGTGCTTGTACATCACAAGACAAACGATTCATAAAAACTTACTCGTACTCAAAATCTATAATATAATTTTTCAACGAAATCTATTTATGATGTGTTTAAATACGTATTGCAAATTGAATTTTACACCATAACAAACAATACAAAACTATTAAAATTTGTCTATAACATATACTTATCGAACCTTCATACCTTCATCGATTTGGTGTAAAGATGTTTTTCCTTTTTATGTACAAAGTCTATATTATCACTTAATTATGGTAATTGACTTTTTTTAAACTCAGTTTTATACTTAATAACATAGAATTAATTGTGAACAACTTTAAGGATTTCAAGGAGGACTAACCAATTTTAGTTGACTAATGTACTCTTCTTTACGTGTTGTTTAGGACAAATTAGCAATTTAATTAGGTTTTCTAAATTAAAAGTCAAAAAATACCAAATGACAAGAAATTTAATTATTGTAGAATCCTAGAAGGAATATTTTAGTGTGTTGTCAACTACTATCAAAGTATTCAAGTAATATCCTAGTTTTAAAATTGTCAGATTTTGCAATTATAGGCTCCACAATACTTAATTATTCTATATTTTTAAATTAAAAGATTGTTATAGTTGATTTTGACGATAAAAGATTTATTAAATGTTTATATCATTCCACCCTAACTCTAATTACTTATCTTTTAAATAACACAATAGTGTAATTAATTTTTTAGTTAATCGTACTGTTCACTTTGTTCAGTAATAGTTATCCGCTATTAAATCACCTTAACTCAGTGCTTGCTGTTGCACTAGGTGCTAAAACATGAGTGTTTTGTATCCATTGAGCAAAAACGAAGGGAGTACTATATAAATATTTGATTTTTTTTTATCTTACTTGACTCCTATATTAAAATTAGATGTTTTTTTACTTATCAATGCATTTTGTAATATCAAGGAAATTTTTTTAATTTTTTTCATATTATCTTTAATATTAAATAACGATATAAAATTCATATTTAAAATATTAAAGGATTATCAAAGTAAAAGGGTTTGAAAAATACTTTAATTTTGATCGAAATTATTGTTATAATATCAAACTTTATGAAAGACTTTTTACCTCCCTGCACTATTTAATAGTATATTTCAAACTTATAAATATGCTAACGTAGATATTTTACTATTTATAATGATGCAATAGTTATGATGTCCACATTTAACATATATATACTTTTAAAATATATTATTAAATAATATAGAAATAAAAAAGACATTTCAAAATTCATATTACAATAATATTTATCAAAACTTAAATATGTTTTAGATTTTTTTCTGATTATTAACAAATTAATTTAGTAAAATAGACTGTTAATAAAAGTTTTTTTGGTACTTTTACATTGAATACGAACATTAATGAGTCAGAAATGGGAACCACAAGGATACTAAACAACTCACAACTTCATTAAATTATGACTGAATGGTGGATGCCAATTAAATTTTAGTGTCAGACATATTCATAGTTTTCTTGTTGATATTAATTAATCCGTAGAGTAAGAATAGTTCGTGCGTTGCGGACTTTGAAATATTGTGCCTTATCGAAATGGTGATAATATCGATTTATAAAAGTTTGTGTGTTGGGGATTCTGAAATATTGTGCTTTATCGGAATGATGACAATATCAACATATAAAATTAGGTGATTTTTTATTTTTCTTTTTGAGATAATTAGGTGATCTTTTATTGTATTTTCTTTGTCATGTATTATATGTTATTTTTTTTAAAAAATATCTGGATCATAATATATGTCATTTTATAAAATTTAGATATGAATCACCATTTTTATCCATTATACCTTTGATCAATTAAGTAATTAATCTTAAAAATATATTTACTTTGACTAACCTAGAAAATCTATAAGTAATTAATTTCATTGGAAGAGTACTTCATTCATTAATTATATACCTTTTTTATTCACTACTTATTCTATAAAATATGATTTTGAAAAAATAATAATCAACGAACAATTAAAAAAAAAGAAGATGAAAATGGAGGTTACAACTACATGAATCATCTCTAATGTAGTTAAACAAGAATTAATGATCCTAATGACTCTTCGTTTACATTGTCATCATTTAAATTTTCATCTATTATTAATCGAAAAAGAAAAAAAACTATGAATAGAAAAGAAAAAATGGTCATTTTTGCTTTAAAAATTTATATATAAAAATATTAAAAGACATTTTACACAAAATATATAGGAAAATTGAGGTGGTAAAAACTTGATTTTTGAAACTTTTTTGGATCAATTGGTAAAAAAAAAAAATTGGATGCAAAAATAAACTCTAAAATTTAAATAGTTATCCAAATGTATTTATGTTTATGAAATTTAATATTTAGTCACTTATTACAAAGTTGTTACAAGCAAATATTAAATAAGGATATAAGGATAACATTACCTTATATCTTAATGCAAGTGCAAATGAAAAAAGTGACATAACGGAGGGAGTACATATTTATAGAGAAGCAAATTTTTTAGCTGATGGTGTCTCTATGATTAGCGGTGTGTATTCGGATTTTTGATATTGTATTATTTAGTTTGGATTTTTTTATTTTTTATTTTAAAGAAGTATAATGTAATTCCAACCAAAATCAGATTTGGTTTGGTTTGATTTTTCTCCTTTTGTTTAGATTTTTCAATTCGACTATTGGTTATACCAATAATTAGAAACATAACAAAGTTATATTTGCAATTTGAAAAAAATGAATAATATATATTGAATTTTTTAAATATACTTTTAATATTACGTTTAAAAAATTATAATTCAAAAAAATAATATTAATATATATTATTTAATTTTTGATATTGAAATATTTTATTAATGTGAAATGTTATATGTTCATGTTTTTTCAAATAAAAGATAGTGTATTACACACACCTACAGAGGTGTATTTCTTAAACTAAAAAAATGATAGTTTAGGTATGAAATTCAAGCTCTCAATAGTTTACGAATAAACTCAAAAAAAGGGATAGTTTAGGTGTTTTTTACACTTATTCAATAACACAATACTTAAAAGTATATCAATTATAGATGTCCAAACATAACAAATAAACCAATCAATAATGAAAATTACTGAAAAAGAACAAGTGGTTAACTCCAACTTAATTTACACGAACACACGCGCATGAATACACTCGAGCACACACGCAAGGGGGCGCCACACACATGTAATTCAGTTTTTCGGTTTTCATTTTCTTTAAATCCAAAAAATTAACCAAAAACCAAACAAAATAAATTAAATTCAAAACCAAGTCAAGAAATCCAAAAAAAAAAATTCAAATTAAAATTCAGTTTGATTTGATTTGATTTTTCGATTTAATCCAAATATTGCACATTCCAGTCTATGATTGAACTTCTAGCTAATTTTCTCCCCGTAACTGCAACTACTTTTGTTCCTAGCTACTTGTCAATTTTTCCTTTTTCAGTTGTCCCTAATTATTTGTTTATTTTTGTCAAATCAATAACGACAATTTCTTTTTTACCTATACCGTCAATTAATTACTTTGAAAAATATATAATTTCTTAAAAATCTAAAGTTTTTAATTCATTCGTTTCATAATTAATAGAGGTAAAATGACAAATTCACTATGTTATTGTTTCTTTAATAGATGTGTTATTTCTAAAGTGAAAAAATAATTAGAGGTAGGAGTAATAAGCTTGACTCAAATTTCTCATTGAACAAAAACAAAATGAAAAGTGAAAAAATTGCTAATAACATAATTAGCTTCAATTTGAAATTTTTTTAAGCTTGATCATGATCAAGTAAAATAAGGACTTGTTTGGTTAACATATTCAAAAGTTACATCAATTTGTGAAGTCAATACCCGAACCTATTACATTTGCATGCTAGCAAAATTTCCAATTTTTTTGCTTCCTTGTTTCACCCAAACAAATCCCATATTTGCTAACAAAGGATTACTTTTGAGGTTCGTTCTTGACTCCTCCTCCATCCTTCAAATAAATCTGCAATATCAAATATTTATATTTTCGTCAGTGTAACGTACACAACCTACCTTAATACAAGTATTAGTTAACTACTTCCACAAGTTGAACTCGTTACATATATAGGTCACACACATACTACTTTATTGTTACTTCAAGATTCTACTTCATGAAAACTAGCGATGTATATACATTAAACAAGATACTCATCTTCTATACAATGGTATATAACTTTTACACTATCAGATCACGCAAAAGTCAACTGGTACTAGTTGCCTAGCAAGTAACCTATAATAACATAAAAAGGAGTAATATTATATTGAAAACTGACAGGCCGATGCACAAACATGTTGTGTTAGCGGGGTCAAGGGAAGGACAGGATTGCATGGGGTGTGATTTAAGCAGACTATCCTACTGGTTGCTTCCACAACCTATAGGTCACACGAGACAACACTATTGTCACTATGAGATTTCTCTGCTTATACTGTCAGCGTATACAAGTTGAAATAGCGTACCTTAGATATTTCATAAAGCACTGTCACAAGCTACAGCTGTTTTGATCCTTTCAACAGTGCATTTGATAAGACTATTGACAGTTGCAACAGATCCAAGAGAGAGTTTTGCAGTGGGAACAGAATCAACCAAAATCTGAAATGCAACAGTGAGAAGCGATCCACCGGTACCAACATTAATTCCTCCGCCACCATCTGGAAGTATAGCGAATCCAGATGGTAGTAGAGCAACATAGTCAGGATCACCACCGCTCAACACAACATTCATTGCGACAATATCAACTGGAGCGTAAATAACATAAGATCCTGTTGAGTCTGTTGAACTCTCTTGGAGTATTAGCATGTTGCTCTGACTCGAATTTCCACTCTGCATCAATAAACTTCCAATCTTTTTAGGTCACTACTAAAAACACGCGAAGTCAATGTAGTTTTGGTATATAACGTCAAGATAATAAGTAAGAAGAAAACATTACATTAACACGAAGCAGAGATACACAGTTTCCTGGATCACGACCATTTGCTATATGTGCCATTTCTTGAACTAGCCCCCCATTCGAAAGTATATCCCACTGCACACGAATACAACACAACATAACAATTTCTTCGTTATATCTTGAAATAACTGATTGAATCAAACCATTGATCATCAAAGTCAAAATTTCAGCGCCATGGACCTTATGACTTTACCTCACTTCTAGAGTTCTCATCGCGGAGAAAATCAAAGACTCTCTTGGGAGGAACAGGAAGCCAAAATGAAGTGGCTGCACTGAGAACAATACCAGGAGGTCTCCCTGGATCATCAATACTTTTTCTAGTCATAACTCTAACATCATCAGCACCACTTCCAGATAATGTAGTCCATGTATGAGCCGTTGAGGCGCCAACACCAGCGCAAAAACTCATCACCATCCTCTCAGCAAGTTTTAACATGCTTTTCCGGCCTTCAGGACTCGTTATGACTACAAAAATAACTTACATAGTTACCAAATTGTGATCGCGGATGAAATTAATTTTACATACTATATATACCTCCAATATCCCCTGTTGGGATGTTATTAGCCATCGCACTTGCTAGTCGTTCACATTGTCTATCCAACACAGCTACCCAACGTTTAGCCCCAAACGCGAGGCCTGAATTGACAAGAGGTTTATAGATGTTATGAACACCTCTATCATCCACTTCAACGTGCTCGATCCATGTAACCTACAGGGATAAAATGAGAAATAATTAATAAAACAACGAAACTCTTAACACTTACTATGATTACACGCGGATTCAGGATTTGAATACATGTAATGGAACTTCTAATATTGGATCTGTCTCTATAATCATATTCAGAGTGGCTTTACCTTGGAGTAACCATTAGGTAATTCTTGAATTAAACAACCCGATGGCCTTCTTCTACAACGCGACACTGAAGTAGGTCGTAAATTGTCCAAGGAGACATCAACAACAGCCCATGTTCCATCAGCATGGTGCTTACAATATCTCACAAAATAATTTTCGCGCGTTGGAACCAATGGTGAAGGGACCTGGAACTCAGCTGTCATCTGAAAATGTAACAAAAGTACACGCCAATTAGAAAGACGTTACATTTGTTGTAGCAGGTAACATGTCTTATTTCTCAGGCTATCGGTTACACTTTTTACGATTCGTTTATACTGTCAGTATATAGAAGTCAAACTCGAGAATAATGTTTGAAAAAAAGTAGTAGAATTTTTAATCATACCACTTGTAAAGCTCCATTGTAATTTCCAGCTACTCCAGTTGATAAGACATCTAATGTCAATGCTCTTGATACTAGTCCAGCAAAAACATTTGTCCATTGGTTCTGAATTACAATAAAACACAATAATTAGTACTAAATAAGACATTATTGAATTATTATTATAAAAAAAGACAAAGGTTAAAATGGTCTTTTTTAAGGCGGAAATAAAATCTAGATAATACGAAAAAGCTCCAACAAAAAAAAAAAGAGTCGTACCACGTCCATTAGGATTTCGACTAAATTGATGTGATTCATAATAACGACAGCAGATTCTCGTGAGGCTTCAGTTGTTAGGCCCAAAGGCTTAGGCCCAATGCCTCGAGGAAAAGTCCGAACATATTCCTCTTCACATAGCGTTTCGATAGAACTATCTGGGCCTGGGCCTGGGTCTGGGCCTGTAATCCATAAGGGCTCTCCAGTTTGGGCCATTCTTACAAGTTCTTCCATAGCTGCTACAGCAAGTTCAATGATCATGGGCTTATCAGCATCTATTGGGCCTGAAACTGACCTTAAAAGGTCACCAGCACTGTACATTTCTCCAACAAGGCCCGTTTGAGGCCCAAAACTACCAACACCGATATCGAGTGAACGGGTCGGGCTGGTAGGAGGAAGATTAGGATATGTAAGCATGGGCTTCCCAACATATTTTGCAGCAATTCCTGATATTCTATCAATCTAAAAAGAAAGGAAAAAAAAATCATAAAATCGTATAAAAATGACAGATTGATATACGAAACACAAAACACGTAAGGTTATACGACTAAAAGTACCCATCAAGTTTTAATGTTGAACTCGTGTATGCATGAATATACTAATTCATGTATTGTATTTTTTGATTAGTGATATTGTGATACCTCTTCTCTAAGACGAGCGTTCTCGATCCTCAAATGTTGCTCATCGAATGACATTTCCCCAATGGAAGCAGGGCCTCCACAATTAGGGCAAGTAGCATTTCCAAGTGCTTCTTTATACCTTATATTATCAGCGCGAAGTTTCTCATTTTCAGCTCTCAATTCTGAGTTCTCATGGCGTTCATGTTGCGCCTACAAAATAACATTTGAATAAAAGTTAATTAGACCGCTTAATATATAAAATAATAAAAGAACAATCTAATGTATAAAGTATCGTGTGTTCACATAGAATCTTGGGCAGTGTGATACAAATATAATCTACCCTAATGTATGCACCAGATATCCACTCACTTATTCACCATTTTTATGATTATTTCTTTTTTAGAAAAAAAAGAAGTGTGAGTGCATAAAATTTTGCCTACACGCAAGATTTGAAAAAGAATCGCACTCTAAGGAACACTAATCCAAGTATTAATTACTGCTTCCACACTTCAATTCAAGAAGAATAGCAATGTATATACCTCAATGGTATAAACAAGTTGAGGTGAAATATATATATATATATATATATATATATATATATATATATATACTATA